TCCGTCACTGCGACCACTCGTGCTGAGCGTGATGGGGACATGTTTCGCGGTCGATTAGAACGCTTCTCTGGGAATCGGGATGTGGTTACGCGTCAGGTGCGCGCGTGCACATTTCGTTCCCTACAGTCTTTTCATGGCGGGCATTTTTGCCTCGGCAAACTCGACGTTGAAGGGTCTGAAATCCTGGCGATGAAATCTGCGGTTGGTGCTCCTCCTTTTCTGGTGATGGAAGGACATTTAAAGGAGATCGCGGATCACCTGGGCATTTCTTGCAAGACTCTGCTTGAAAAGCGTGCAGCTGCTTTGGTGCAGCTTCGCAGATTGTTGCGGAGTGCAAACTGCGAGATTCTCCGCTTTACAGAGCGCGGTAATTTCGATCCGCTCTTGTTCTGCACGCGGGTCAAGTTCAGCAGCGCAGAGCAGACATGCGAGAACTGCATGGCCAGAAGGGCTGAGTTGGCCAACTGAAGCGTGGTTCCTGGATTTCGATTATGTTGGCTGGTTGTGCTCGGGTTTAGGGTTTAGGGTTTAGGGTTTAGGGTTTAGGGTTTAGGGTTTAGGGTTTAGGGTTTAGGGTTTAGGGTTTAGGGTTTAGGGTTTAGGGTTTAGGATCACATGCGCTGTATTCTCCAACCCCCCCCCCCCCCCCCCCCCCCCCCCCCCCCCCCCCCCCCTCCCCCCCGCTCCTCCACCATGCTAAAGGGGCGCAAGACTGGCAGAAGGGTGGAAGAATTCAGCTTCTAGCATTGTACTCAGAAGGAAAAGGATCCTAATGGGAAGCCCAGACCCTAAACCCTAAACCCTAAACCCCAAACCCTAAACCCCAAGAGTACAGTAGGACTATGTAGGGAATATAAGGACCCTGTAGGTGATTTTTGCTACGAAGTTCCTACTCTATTCTTGGGGTTCCTTGTTTGGGGTTCCCGCTACAGTCCCTTTAGAAACCATCGGCGAAGTACATATTCTGAAGCACTTCGTCATGCACACAACTAGAAATGCAAGACGGCTGATTGTTCTGTACCTTCTCTCGTTAACACTGTGATTCATGAATCTTCTGATGGATGACACATTCGTGTCTTCCTGATACAAGAGAAATACTTGTCATCTTCTCATAGGTCCTGGCATCTAATTCTTGTCAGCTTCGGAAAAGCTAACACATGCCTGTCATCTAGTGACATAGAAAGCACATTCTTGTCATCTCTCATACAGCGCATATTTTGTAATATGCTCATGCGGCCTTTGTTGAGACCCTCAACCCTAGTACGCGGATCCCTGCTTTAGGGCTTGGGGGGGGGGGCTTAGGCAAGCCCTAAAAGCCTCGTAAGCCCTGCACACCCTAAAGAATCCCTCTGAACCCCTCACAACGAACACAGTAACACTGCCCAAAAGCCCTTCACAAGCCCACACAAATCTTACAAACCCTTAGAAACATGTCGTCTATTCGACCCTATGAAAACGCTCTAAATTGCTTCAAGTTGCCCGAAACGCCCCAGATCCGAAGTATGGGCCCTTATTATGTAGAGTGTGTATCCATCAGGGACCCGAACTGTGGGCCCATACTTCGGATCCCTAAACCCCAACCCCGAAACCCGAAACCCCAAACCCTAAACCCTAAGCCCAAACCCCAAACCCTAAACCTCAGAGAAACCTCAGGCCCAGCAGGAGCCGCAGTCGCAGCCGAGGGTGCAAACACCAGACGATCAGTGCAGAGCCCAGTTTCAGTTTCGGGAGTGGGTGGCGGGGGAGGTGGGGCTGTAAGGGCCCCATATTCCCCAAATAAGGACTTAATCAATATGGCCCCCTTACACCCCTGAGAGGGGGGGGGGGTTAGGGTTTTAGGGTTTCGGGCTTAGGCCGGGAGTTTTTGGGTTTAGCTTTTGACAACACCAGATGTGCTAACTACACTTCAGCGCTGGAATATGCCAAGAGACGGCTTAGGGAGGTAAGGCTGCCCTGGATGTTCTTTGAGGCCACATGAGCGTGAGTCCGCTCCTACAATAGCGAGGGGGCTTCGATTCGGGTTGCCGGCTTCAGAGGGCCAATCCTCAACTAGGATTCTCCCTAAACCCTCAACCCTAAACCCTAAACCCTAAATCTCCTCTCTCTCTGAGCCTCTCGTAGTGCTCGCGGCCCACGGTTGCTGTAGACTGGGGGCCGGACCAGGCCATACCACCACCAAAGTCACCACGAAAGCCGATGGCACGTCCGATGAGGAGGGCGAGGCAGGGGGGGGGGGGTCCCAAGCCACCGTATCATATAGGGATCTCCCCATATAGAGGTACCCCTCCCCCCAAGAAAGAGGTAGAGGTAGACATATAAATATATTTACATATGTACAGAATTATTTCTACATAATATATACATATATATATATATATATGTACTACTACCAAGAACATTAACGATAATGACTGTTCTTATTATTCTAATTATCAAAATATGGATAGCAAAATGCGAACAACCAAAGAAGAATAATAATAAGAAGAACTACCCGAAAAATATTGGAATGGTCATTTTAGGCGCTACTTTGGTCCCACCCAAACAGATTTCCCGCGCACGCCAAAAGCACCTCGACTTTGTTCACGCCATGGAGGGGTCTTGGGGGCCTAAACCCTAAACCCTAAACCCTAAACCCTAAACCCCTGAAGATCACACGCCGTGGTGGTAGCCGTCCGGCATGCCAAGAGCTTCAAGCCATCTGCCTGGGTCACCCCAAGCCCTAAACCCTAAACCCTAAGCCCTAAACCCTAAGCCCTAAACCCTAAACCCTAAACCCTAAACCCTAAACCTTAAACCCTAAACCCTAAACCCTAAAGCCCAAGCTCCTACACCCCTTTTTTGGATTCTGGGTTCCCTTATACAGTAACCAACCAAAAACGGGGCGCTATCATATGGTTTCTGGGCTGCCAAGAGAATGTACCCAATCCTGAATGCCGTTAATTGGGGTTTAGGGTTTAGGGTTTAGGGTTTAGGGTTTACAGGGTTTAGGGGGCCCCTCCCCCTCCCCCCCCCCCGCTCCCTACCAAATCTTTGGCTTCAGGGTGGCTTGGGGCTGTTTAGGGTCGAGGGCTTGGCATGGGTTTAGGGGTTTAGGGGTTTAGGGGTTTAGGGGTTTAGGGGTTTAGGGGTTTAGGGGTTCAGGGGTTTAGGGGTTTAGGGTTTAGGGTTTAGGGTTTAGGCTTTGGGGTTTAGGGTTATAGGGTTTAGGGTTTAGGGTTTTATAGCTGTGACGCCGCAGGCTGTCGTGATGCAACCAGTTCATAAGGACGAGGCGGTGGCAAGGCGTGGGGCTTAGGGTTTAGGCGCCAGGGTCAGTTTAAGGTTTCGTGTTCAAGGTTTAACAGCGTATCAAGAGCCTAGGTGTTCTGCTTCGAAGGGCCTTTTGGGTCGGGTCGTTTTCTGGGGACTTGAGTGCTGCAGCTTTCAGGAATGGGTGTCATCAGAGGGTCTGCATAGCCAGACCGACGCCTACGCCCTCACAGACGCACCGGAAGCCGTGCACGAAGCCTTCAGCCCCCGCATGCGCAAGGCCAATCCCAAAATCCCCAACCCTAAGCCCTATACCCTAAACCCTAAACCCTAAACTCCCTCAATCCCCCTGAACGCTCGGATGCTCGACCCTTGCAACCCCCCATTCCAGGACGCCGGTCCCTCCAGTTCCCGCAGCTCCCGTGGAGGCGCCACAGGCCGCTTTCAAGCCACATGCTGTTGGGTTTTGGGGTTTAAGGTTTAAGGTTTAGGGTTTAGAGTTTAGCGTTAATTAAGGGGTTTAGGGGTTTAGGGTTCTAGGTTATCGGGTTTTGGGGTTTTGGGGTGTATAGGGTTGAGACTAACGGTGCTTAGTCAGAAGCTAGGAGATCAGGTGCCCAGTAGCCAGTCGCAGAGCCCTACAAGGGATCCTCAATCAACTCCCTAACTCCCAGTTCTGAGCCTTGTTTAGGGTTTAGGGTTTAGGGTTTAGGGTTTAGGGTTTAGGGTTTAGGGTTATAGGGCCATAGGGTTATAGGGTTATAGGGTTGTAGGGTTATAGGGTTTAGGGTTTAGGGTCTAGGGTTTAGGGTTTAGGGTTTACAATTTAGGGAGTAATCGTGTCGAGGCTTCTGCCCCGTCCGTTTCTGGGGCTGCCGAACTTCTTTCGGCATCGTATCCTACTCCGAAACGTACTCACAAAGGAAGCCCCCCATAGGCCATAGGGTTGAAACCCTAAACCCTAAACCCTAAACCCTAAACCCTAAACCCATAGGTAAGAGCCCTTTGTTGGTTAGCCTGCGAAACCCCGAGCTTGTGGTACTTGTTTGCGCGTTCTGTGCTCCCAACCGGAAGGGTCAGGTCCTCTTGCCCTTGTAAGCCCTAAACCCTAAACCCCAAACCCCAAACCCTAAACCCTAAACCCTAAACCCTAAACCCTAAACCCTAAACCCTAAACCCTAAGCATGTGAGGAGCCCAAGCCATCCGAAGAGGCCAAGGAGACACTGACCCAACGGCGTTTCCGACAATTCGGTGGGGGGTAGGGTTTAGGGTTTAGGGTTTAGGGTTTAGGGTTTAGGGTTTAGGGTTTAGGGTTTAGGGTTTAGGGTTTAGGGTTTAGGGTTTAGTGTTTGCAAAGGAGGATCCCCATTTCAGGAAGATTTCACCTTGATTGCTTCAGAGCCTTGAATCTCTCGGGTTCTCTAGGTTCAGACCCTCCTTGCAAGCCCTAAGATCTTCCTAAACCCTAAACCCTAAACCCTAAACCCTAAACCCTAAACCCTAAACCCTAAACCCTAAACCCTGATAGCCCGGTGGAGGTGTGAGGCTATAGCACCTTGTGTTGGCACCAGCATTTTCTCTTCAAGTTTTGGGCCTTTTGGGTTTGGGGTTTGGGGTTTAGGGTTTAGGGTATAGGGTTTAGGGTTTAGGGTTTAGGGGTTGCTGGGGAGGTTTTTAGGACTCCCAGCAGCCGCAGCACCATCACCAAACAAGCAGGGGGTCAAAGGAGCTTCGCTAGATCGGTCTACCCATGGTGAGGCCAATGATTCCTGCCTCCTTCTTTGTTTTTCTGTGCGCGGGGCCCCTGCCGACACGCGGATACGATTTCGATGTCGTCGTCTATGGTTCAACCCCCGCCGGCATTGCGGCTGCCACAGCCGCTGGACACCTTGGAATGCATGTTGGAGTTTTCGAGCCTTTGCCCATGATTGGAGGCATGGGTGCTGCGGGAAACCTAGCCTTGCACGATGGCGCCCCACGGACAAAGCTGAGCGGCCTTGCCCGCAACTTTTCACTGCTGAACGCGGCGTACTACAACGTGCCGAGCGAGGTAGCGCAACCAGAGTCCTTCGTTGCGAACGCTTCTTTCTACAAGATGCTAAACGCTGCAGGTGTGGTGGAGATAAAGCTGGCGTGCAGGCTCACTGGCGTAAAGTGTAGAGCAGACGGGGCCAGCATCGAGAGCATCAACGTTATCTGTCAGAAGAATCCTGTCTCAGCGAAAGTGTTCATTGATGCCAGCTATGATGGTGAGATCATGACGAAAACGGTTGACTACACCCATGGAAGAGAGGCAACTGCCGTGTACAACGAGTCCCTTGCGGGCGCAAGAATTCCAACGCCGAGTGCTGTGAAGGTCCATGCCCTCCATGACGATGGCACCATCATCAAGTATGTACAGAACATCAGCGGCCTCGCCCGTCCCGGCGAAGCTGATGATGCTCTCATGGCATTTCAGCATCGGCTCTGCATCTCTGGCGATGAGGACCGCTTGCCATGGAAGAAGCCTGACGGATACGATCGGAATGACTTCGTACTCTTTGAGCGCTACATCGCGGCGAACCAGGGTAAGTTCGATGGGTTCGGGTGGCCACCACAGGATATGCGTGACTTCGGGTATCCAGGCCCAAAGAAGAAGTACACACTCTGCTGTGGGATAAGCATCGCAGCATCGGACCAGCCGATGGGCCGGACTTCAGCACAAGGTCTAGCTTTTTGAGTCGTATGCTCTTTGGATATGGTTCTGTGCAAATACAAGCTTATGTGGCAGAACTACATTCAAAGAGCCCCCACACACCCCCACCCACACAAAAGATGGTTTACCCTAAACCCTGAACCCTAAACCCTGAACCCTAAACCCTGAACCCTAAACCCTAAACCCTAAACCCTAAACCCTAAACCCTAAACCCTAGACCCTAAACCCTAGGCCCAACCTTAATCGTGGCTGGGCAACGGCTTCCTGGGAGAAGAAGCAGCAGATCATCGGCGAACACACCTACTTTGAGCTTGGCATGTTCTATTTCCTCGCGAACGATCCCAAGGTGCCTGGGAAGGGTTTAGGGTTTAGGGTTTGGGGTTTGGGGTTTGGGGTTGGGGGTTTAGGTTTTGGGTTTATAGGGTTTAGGGTTTAGGGTTTAGAACGATCCCAAGGTTCCGGTGAAGGTCAGGGAGGAGTTCAACCGCTATGGCCTCTGCGCTGACGAGTTTGTGGAGTTTAGCCACATCCCTCCGCAGCTCTATATTCGCGAAAGCAACCTTGGCAGCCCAGAGGTACCCTTTACCCTTTTTTTGGGTTCAAGGTTCCTCTATCAAAGTAACCAACCCCCCAAAAAAGGGTGCCCTTATTAACATATGGTTACTGGGCTACCAGGCAACCGACTCGTTGGTGATTATGTCATGACCCAAAACAACATTGCTAATCCAAAAGTTGTGCCGGACAGCATCGCCGTTGCAAACTGGTGGCTTGATATGCACATGACCGGAAACTTAGTAGCCCAGTGGTACCCTTTTCCCTTGTTTTGGTTATGGGGTCCCTCGTAAAGTAACTAACCCAAAAAAGGCTGCCCTTGTGATAATCTGGTTACTGGGCTACTAAGGAAAATATGCCGTTCCTGACGGCGATGGGCAGTTCACAGTTCGGCTGGAAGGCAACTTTCCCCACAACAAAGGGACCACACCGCCGCCCTACGAGGTTCCATACCGGCTCATGACGCCAAAAGTGGGAACAGGACTCTGTGGTGCTTTACTGCAACTTTAGATCCTTAGCCTTTCTTGGGTTCATTGGGTTTCTTAAAATGTGAGACAGCTAACTTTAGATCCTTAGCCTTTTTTTGGGTTCATTGGGTTTCTCAAAATATAAGTCAGCAAAAAATAAGTGCAGCCAAGAGGAATCAATCTTCTTGTGCCGGTTTGCCTCTCGACGTCCCATGTGGCGTTTGCATCAACGCGGATCGAGGCGATGTTCATGAGCACAGGATCTGCAGCAGGACTATGGTAGGCCCTATTTCCCCTATTTTGAGGGTGTAGGTTCCCTTCTCACCCTAAACCCTAAACCCTAAACCCTAAACCCTAAACCCTAAACCCTAAACCCTAAACCCTAAACCCTAAACCTTTACACCAAAGAAGGGTGCCGGTTTTTTCCTAGGCTACTCCTGGGTCGAGAGGAGTCGCGGCGCAACAACTCGTGGATGCAACGGCGGCCACGGTTCAAGATGTGAATGTCACCAGAGTCCAAGAGATTTTGACACGCCGCTTTCAGCAAGACATCCATATAGCCGAGCCAGATCGCATTGTAGTGTAATGTAAGGGTCGGCATATGTAGTAGTAGTGTTCCCTCATGGTCCCTTATATATGTATACTTACTAGCAGAACCCCAAAACCCTATTCTTATTATTAAGGCCCCTATGGTAGCCCTAAACCCTAAACCCTAAACCCTAAACCCTCAACCCTGAACCCTGAATCCTAAACCCTAAACCCTAAACCTAAACCCTAAACCCTACAGCAAGAAGCTGGAGCCAGTTTGACATGTTCTTGCGCGTGCTGTCTGAAAAGCGCGCTGACCCAATTGCACGAGCAGCGGAAAAGTTCTTTTAAGAACACAAGGTAGTAGAAGTTAGCAGTATCCTATGCCTTATAACCCTAAACCCGACTCCTAAACCCTAAGCCTTAAACCCTAACACCCAGAACTCAAGGCTCTTGGTCGACTCCGGGTTGAAGTCAGAAAGGTACTTGCTGCACTTTTTTTTCTCAGTGGCTGCTGGATGCTCCGCTAGTCTCCATAGCCCGAGTTATTGATTTTTTTGCTTTCGTGACTTGAGGTGTATACCCTAAACCCTAAACCCTAAACCGTAAAGGGTTTAAGGTCGACTTGTGCCTTGGGTGTCAGTCCGACTTGAGTTTAAAGCAGAAGTTGGGGAGCACGTGGTATGGTGACGCTACCACGCCCCAACGTCTCCGGCGACTAGCGACTAGCGTAGTGCTTGCCTTAGCTATTGTTTATAGGCTTTATCTAACCCTAAACGCTAAACCCTAAACCCTAAACCCTAAACCCTAAACCCTAAACCCTAAACCCTAAACCCTAAACCCTAAACCCTAAACCCTAAACCCAACGTCTCGGGCGACTAGCCCGGTGCTGACCTTAGATATTGTTTATAGGCTTTATGGGGCTCACGGAGCTGCAATGCCCTGTATGCTTTGAGAGGACCGACCCTTCGGACTTCGGAAGTCGGGTTAGGGTTTAGGGTTTAGGGTTTAGGGCTTAGGGTTTAGGGTTTAGGGCTTAGGGTTCAGGGTGATTGGGGAAAGTGTTCCTGTGCAGGAGATTCCGCAGGGCGACGCCGACAAAGTGGAGGCGTGTCCACCCCAGCAGATGCTTGCCTGCAGCAGGAGCAAGGCCCACTCATCCGGACCCCCAAAAAAACAGCAAATAGTAGTCTACTACCAGTCCTTAACAGGCATTCCAGTACCCTTATTATAACCCCTGAATATTGAGGACTGTTAGTACAAGGGGAAACCTCCCAACCTAAAGCCCTCTAAGCCCTGTAATCCCTACAAGCCCTGAGACCCCATCATCCCTGCAAACACTAAAGCCCCTAAAGCCCCTAAGATCTGACACCCTAAGAGCCCTGAAGCCCTAAACGCCCTAAAACCCCCAAGCCCTCAAACCCTAAAGCTTGAAAGTAAAGCCACTAAAGCCCCTGAACCTCAAAGCCCGAAAAACCCTTAAGATCCGAGGGATGCCATTTCGGTCGACACTCGCCCTGCACGGAGTCGGAGCTCGAGTTCAAGCCCGTGCCCTTCCCGGATCAGCATCTGTGGGGCATCGTTTCGGGGGTTTGGGGTTTGGGGTTTAGGGTTTCGGGTTTAGGGTTTAGGGTTTCGGGTTTAGGGTTTAGGGTTTCGGGTTTAGGGTTTAGGGTTTCGGGTTTAGGGTTTAGGGTTAGAGTTTAGGGTTTTGCGTGTAGGGTTTAGGGTTTAGGGTTCAGGGTGCATTCAGGGTCCCAAGGGTGATGTGCCCTAGCTTTTTGGCTTATGCTCCTGCCTGCTAAACCCTATGCCCGAGAAGCCCTGTGAGCCCTAAACCCTCAAGTATCGGTCGTCTTGGTTCTTGCGAGACTTCTGCGCTTTTCGAAGCCTCCGCTGCTGTTCCTTCGCACTCTATTTTGTCGCAAGGCTCCTTGGTTTCAGGGCCTCAGGGCTTACAGCTTAACTGGCTTAACTGTTTACCCGAATGCCCAGAGATCCTACTACTGATTGTCGAGGCTTTCTAAGCCCTGGCCCCTGTCAGTTTTTTGACTCTCCAGGGCGAAGCCTGTGGAGATGCCACCCAAGCGGAGTCGGAGCAGGTGCGAGAGAACGGCCTATTAGGGTTTAGGGTTTAGGGTTTAGGGAAAGTTTAGGGTTTAGGGTTTAGGGTCATACACATCCCGTGCCCTGTGCACGATTCACTGGTCTCCTATGGCAAACGCTGTCAACTGCCTCGGCCCTGCCCGAAAACCCCTAAACCCTAAACCCTAAACCCTAAACCCTAAACCCTAAACCCTGAAAGGGCGTTCGAAGGGTTTGTCTACAGAGAGGGCTCTTGAGCCGCTCCTAAACGGACTTTCGTGCCCTGGGCCTGGAAAGTCAGACTCTCGAACCCAATTCAGGGAGATTCAACATTGGAAAGGGTGCGGGGGGGTGGGGAGGCGGGGGTGAGGATGTGGAATGGTGGGACTTTGCAACTCTTTGGGCGCCTGGTCGCTAAGGGCTTCATTGAGGGTTTTTGGGTTTGGGGTTGGTTTAGACAGCGACATTCAAGGTTCCATCCCTGCCCCAAACCCTAACGTGAACATGGGAGGGTTTACGAATTAGGGATACCTTACTGGGTCTTTCTTCTAAGGGGATTCTACTACATCGGAGTTCCCCTTTTTTGCGTAAAATTCCATGGGATGGGCCTGGGTCTTCAGTTCCCCACCCAGGGGCAAGTCTGCCGATTCCGAATCGCCTCCGCGGCGGGCAAGGCGCGTCTTCTGGTGGGCCATGACTGTACACTTGAAAAGATTCTTCATCCCCATAAGCCCGAGGGCCCTTAGAAGCCCTAAACTTCTACCCCTTAGAAGCCCTGAACTCCTACCTCAAAAGCCCTTGTTATTCCCCAGAAACCCTAAACTCCTACCTCCTGTAAGCCCTTATAATCTTAGAAGCCCTAAAACTTTGTCATAGTGGGGGAACATCTCACATGGTTTAGGGGTACTGAAAATCAACAAGGTACAGATTTTTCAATGTTTAGTATTATCCCAGCCATGAACTAGTAAACTCCAACCTGCAACCATCAACCATCAAGGGGTCGAAGGAGGGACCCCTAGAAGGGACCCTTAATCTTGTTCCCCTGTATAGCCCCTATATAAGAACCCCTAAGGCCCCTAAAAATGGTCACTCCTTTACTTGGAGGTTCATGGTACTTCTTCACCAATTAAACTGTACTGATAACTCTGTACTTAAACCATATTTCAGGGCGCGTAAGGGCTTATAAGTGCGTTATGGGTACAGTTATAGTTTGTTAATAAGTACCATGATCCTCCAAGTAGAACCCGTAAACCCCCGAAGCTTCACGCCCTCCGAAAACTTCTGGTGTCTCCCAGGCAAACCCTAAACCCTAAAGCCTTAGAAGCCCTAAACTCAAACCCCTAACCCTAAACCCTAAACCCTAAACCCTAAACCCTAAACCCTAAACCCTAAACCCCAAACCCCAAACCCCAAACCCCAAACAGGGCCAAATCTTCAAACGCCGGCTCTCCCCCACGGCGCCGAAGCCGACGGAGTCGGCGGGCGCCCCAGATCGCCCCAGTCATGTCCGGCCCCCTGACCTTGAAAGTTGGAAGGTTCAGGGTTTAGGGTTTAGGGTTTAGGGTTTAGGGTTTAGGGTTTAGGGTTTAGGGTTTAGGGTTTAGGGTTTAGGGTTTAGGGTTTAGGGTTTAGGGCGACTAGGACCCAGAGCAGGCCCTTATTCCCCTTCCTTTTAGGGTTTGGGTTCCCTTACAAGCGCCTTTAAGCCAAAAGGCAGACTTTTCATTCTTAGGCTGCCCTCAAGGACGCAAAATAACCAAATCAGGTCGCTGGATCAAGAGTGTCTGCCCCTTGACCTTATAGGAGATGTCTCCAGTGATGCAGAGGACGAAGTCCGAAGTCCCTCGACGACGTCGCAGGCGGCACGGACCCAAGATGTCTGGCGGCTGGGTGGGATGCGGAATGCAGTTGTTGACTGGGTTTTGGAGTACTATACGTTAATACTTTTTTTGGTTCTGGGTTCCTATTATAGCTAATTACTTATACCTAAAAAGTATCTGTTGTGTTTCCAGGGTCTACTCCAAAGTACGGTTGAACAAAGCGGCATGTACGAACACCAGTAGCTTCTTGGTCTCCAACTCTTAGTCAAGTTGATTGAAGAAATACGTTGAGGGCCGAAGTCGTCCTCTGCAATAGCAATCAATAGTACCCATACTCCCTCAGATGCACGTGGAGGTATCCGAAACTAGGGGTACCTTATTGGGGGCCTTATTGCAAGGGGATCCTACACTGTGGGGGTCTAGTTGAAGGGCCCCTACTTTCCTAAACCCCCATGTTTTCTGACTCCCACAGGGCAAAGGGATCGGACTCGGGGTCCTCGCCGCGTCGCCGGAGCCGACGTGGCCGGTGGGGGCCATAGCTGCGCACGTCAAATTCGCCTTGTGTGCTAAACCCACCTTACAATAAGGACCCCAAGCCCTACAAACCCAAAACCCTAAACCCTAAACCCTGAACCCTAAACCCTAAACCCTAAACCCTATACCCTGTGCTAGCTCACCTTGGCGCCCCATGTTCGCTCTGTGGAGATGGTCCGGGAAGCCCTGCTACGAACCCCCGAAATCAAAGAGCAGCCCGGTGATGAGGACGAAGTCCGCATCACAGCGCCGCCGCAAGCGGCGCGCCCCCAAGCTTTCGTGCACTTTTTGTTCAGGACTTCGGCTGCAACCCTGCACCTGCGGGCTAGTCAGGTTTAGGGTTTAGGGTTTGTTGGGTGTATATTGGGTTTCTATGGGGTTTCTTGGGTTTATTGGGTCTTTTGTTGGGTTTCTTGGGTTTCTCGTTTTTGGGTTTCTTGGGTTTCTTGGGTTTATTGGTTTTAGTGTTTAGGCTTCATGAATCAAGCACACCGGTGCCCTTCGGCCTCGTCTGGATACTCGGCCCCCCCTAGGCTTCTTGGGATGGGGGTTTCCGAAATGAGGGGGCACCTTATTCAGGTCCTTACTATCAGGGAATCCTACTATGGGGGGGGGGTCT